GATATCCACAATCTGTCAACTACCACTCTCTTTCCTCTCAGTTTCTCGCAGTATTTCATCCACCAGTCTGAAAGTGGGCCAGCAAGTAATTCCCCAATAACAGATCCAATCATAAGAGCAACATATTGTACTCCAAGCATTTGTGCATCAAGATGAAATATACTACCGAAAGTCTGTGGCATTTCAACGACAAAGAGAATATTACCATAGCAGAATGTAATAGCTAAAGCAATTGTAGACAGTGAAACATTATAGTTAGCGCATTGTTTCAATGGTCTGAAGAAGATATCCCAGGTAAAAGGTTCTTGGGTTCTTTTATAAAGTCCAAGCCATCTCAAGATACCTTTCTTACCTAAATCTACGCCTGTAACCTCTTCTGTCTTCTTTTCTCTTATATATACTGTCTCATCTGCAACCAACCAAAGAACAAACTGAACGAAATTCATGATTGCAAAAGTAAAATAAATCCACCGAGTTCCTGCATGGTATTGCACAAATCCCATGAAGAATGGGCCACTTGGAGTACCCAACATAAGTGCACTGGACCACCAGCCATTCTTTTTACCTCTTTCGTGATTGAACGCCAAATCAGCAACTACAGAACTTCCAGCAGCTGATCCTGTCGAGGCAAACCAGCAAACCAATATTCTAAGAGCCATTTGTTGTCCGTAAGTAGTACAAAAACCACCTCCAATATTTAATGCACAGCAAATTAATGATGAGACTGCTAAAAATGCATTCCTACCATACGTATTCATTAATGGAACCCAGAAAAAGGAGCGAAACCAGATACGCAAATCTGTGCTGAGGATAAATACGCAGTTTCTGTCATGGACCTTCCATACTGTTGTGACATTGATAAGTAAGCGGGGGAGAGACCTGCTTGCATAAATGTCACAGTAAAACAATGGAAAGCAAGAAAAATAATCTCATAATTTTTCTTCCAATCAGGCCAATTAAGGGGGTCCAAGTTGCTATTAGAAGGAAGAGGGTCTAGCTGAACAGAGCCATGTCTCTTCATTAAGAAATCATGATGGCTTGGTTCAAGTTCCTGAGGTTCCAATTGTTCAACAAGCTCTATGCTTAACTTTTCAATATCCCCCAAAGGAGAGGATGGTGAGACTGATGACATTTTGTTCTTTGTTCTTTAAAAAAATTTGGATAAAATTGTGCACACTCGTATCCAGTTATATATCATAGCTGTTGGATGCTATTTTAATCCCCCAATAAGAATTGGGGTATTTTATGTTTTCTTATTTTATTTTGTGCAGTTATTTTAAAGATAACACGCAGTCCCAGGTTACAAGGCAAATTGTGTAAGTAAAATGCGGAAAAAAGATTAATGGAAGGGGAGGGGGTATTTGTGGTAAAAAGTATAGGGAAGCAAGGGTAGTCGAAGAGGAGTCGAATGGAAAATATTAAGT